AATATTATGTAACTAGTAAAAATTCCTGTTTATTATAAAATTTGTAATAATAATATGCTCATGATATCTAACAAACTCTTCTCAGAGTTTGTTGTCAATAGTGACAGCACTGTTGTCATTGTCTACAGTACATTTCTTTGTTGTATCAGACTGGCCTGGGGACACTAATTGCTAGTAGCACAATTCCACCCTCCACACTCCCCGTCATTATAACAACTAGACCATTCCTGGCATGAACCCAAATGTGTCCTAAAACCAAAAAACCAAACCTACTGCCATTGAATCAATAGTAATTCTATAGGACAAAGAGAACTGCCCCCATAGGGTTTCCAAGGCTATAAATCTTTATGGAAGCAGTCTGCTTCATCTTTCTCCTGCAGAGAGCTGGTATGTTCCAACTGCTGACCTTATGGTCAGCAGCCCAATGCTGTCAGCACAGCATCACCAGAGCTCCTTAATGTGTTCTGAAGGGGGTGATATAATCTAGGTTGAGAACCACAGGCTAATATTATTGAAATAGGACCAAACATGGGTCCCTGCCTGGTGCACAGCCAGGCAAAAACAGTTTACACATTGAGTGATTAAGAGGAGAGAAAATTATGTATTGCAAAGCAGCAATACAAGAAGTAGGGGTACCCCATACCCAGATCTGACTCCCCAAAACTCCATCGAATTACAGTTTTTGTAGGTTTCAGAAGAGGGGGTTATGCATATTCATAAAAATTTCAGGAATTTGGGCCTGAGATTCTTGACGACTGGCTGAAATTCCCTTTGCCTGGTTTAAAGGGGCAATAAGAATTAAAATCAGTGCACCTGCATGGCAGATGAGTCACACCAGTTTCCTGTCATCAGCTGATCAGGGCTTAGGCAGAGGGGAGAGTGTCTGTTCCCAGTAACTTTGTTCCTCTCTATCCTACTGCACATGCCGCAGGCCAGAGTTAATTTTCAAGCTGTTTTCTAAGATACATTAATGCATTTATCACCTGTGCCTAAGGAAAGAGCAGGAAAGAATATTTTCTTTCCATTCAGTTCTTAAGGAACTGAGTTTTTTATATTTACTCATCTGTCTCCAGCCAGGGTCCGGGGTGGGAAAATAGTTGAGGGTAATTTAGTTTACTTATCTATTCCCATCCGGGATCCTATCTGTTAATTATCTGCCTTAACCAGGGTGGGGGAAATAGTTTTTGTTTTACTCGGTTTCATTATGAACCTGAATCTTCAGGTTCTTCTTTAAAATTCTGCAAATCCTGTACTTTAAGATAGAGATTGTATAAGATATTTTAGATTCTGTCTTTTTCTGTTATCTCAAGGGAAAAGTAATGGGAGCAATTCCTTCTTAAAGACTTTTTTATTTGCCAGGCCCTTGTTTGCTATGTGCTTTGTATATGTTATTTCAGGTATTTATGAGACCTCACTTAGCTGTATTTTGTTTATTCCCAGACCTATGTGGAAAATAGAAGAATCCTGCTAGATAAAGAAGATTCTATTTGTATCCACAGGAAAGTTCACGATCATGCAGTCCTTCAGTCACATAAATTACCCTTGTTTGCTTGCTTGCTTTGTCATGTTTTTTCTATAATGTCCTCTCCATTTCCTCACTTTCCATCTTAAAGACATTTTCCTTGATGGATCAGTTTGTCAAAACCTAAGCCTACTCATCCATCCATCCATCCATCCTTCTATCTATATTGCAAACTTCAGTTTTTATTTATTCTTTTTTATTGTGATTTGGGTGAAAGTTTACAAAGCAAATTCATTTTCCTTTCAACAGTCCATACACGTTTTGTGACATTGATTGCAATCCCCACAGTGTAACAATTCTCTTCACACTTCCTCCCTGTCATTACCTTCTCCCTTTGTCCTTCTTTCCTGTGCATTCCTGCCCTCTAAGCTTTCTGCCTCTGTAAATGCTGCCCTTCTAATCTCCCATGGTTGATTGTTCTAAGAAGTGTATCTACCTAGTGTAACTGTTCACCTGGTAGGTCTGTCTGTTGTTTGGCTGAAGCATGGACAGTGAGTTCAACTCCAGGCCTGCAGTGTGATAAGGGGCCATAGTCTTAGGGGTTTAACTAGTCTCTATCAGACGAGAAACCCTGATTTTGAGTTTTTTCCCATATTTTTCTCCTACTCTATCCAGGATCTCCTATACGGATTCCTTTCTGAGTGTTTGACAGTGATGGCTGGGCACAGTCTTGTTCTTCTGGTCCCAAGGTGATAATCAGGCTGAGGTCCCCATGGTCCACTAGTCTCTTGGACTAATTGTTTCCATATGTCTTTGAATTTCTTTTCTTTGCTCTGGAGAAGTAATAGTATTAGTAGTATTAGGCACTCACAAGGTTTTTTGCTTTTTTTTTTTTTTAACATTGTGGTTTCTGATACTGTTTCTTTTCTTTTTTAAAATTTTTATTGTGATTTGGATGAAATTTTACAGAGCAAATTCATTTTCCACACAGCAGTTCATACACATTTTGTTTCATGACATTGACTGCAATTCCCCACAATGTTAACAGCTCTTCTCCCACTTCCTCCCTCTAGTTACCTCTTCCCTATGTCCTTTTTTCCTATGCATTCCTGCCCCCCTACAGCCATCCCCCTATACAGATACTGCCCTTCTATTCTCCCATGACTGATAGTTCTAAGAAGTGTATCTACCTGATGTAAATGTTCACCCTATATGCCTGTCTGTTGTTTGGCTGGAAGCCATGGGAATGAATTCAATTCCAGACCTGAAGGGTAACTAGGGGCCATAGTCTATGTCTCACCAGGCTCTATCAGACCAGTAAACCTTTACATGAATTTGAGTTTTGTTCCACATTGTTCTCCCACTCTATTCAAGATCTCCTGCACGGATCCCTTTCCAAGTAGTTAACAGTGGTAACCAGGCACCATGTAGTTCTTCTGGTCTCATGGTCATACAGGCTGAGGTTCCTATGGTCCACTAGTTCCTTGGACTAATTGTTTCCATACAGCTTTGGTTTTCTTCATTCTTCCTTGCTCTGGATGAGGAGAGACCTATTGTTGGCCCATCTAGATGGCTGCTTACAAGCTTTTAAGTCCCCTGTCACTACTCAACAAAGCAGGATGTAGAACAATGTTTTGGCATAGTATGTTACGCCAGTTGAGCTTGATTTCCCCTGCCACTATGATCCCAAGCCCACAGGTCCAACAACTCACTCAGGGTGGTTGGCTGTGGCTAAGAAGTTATCATAACTTTGCCCTTTGTATATATATGGACATTCTTACAGCATATACAAACACATATGCAGAAATATCATCAGCCAACCTTATATATGGTCATGGGTATATTCCCTTTTGCTTAGACATACCTGATCATTTTGCCTGTCTACCTATGTCTCCACCCATAGATTATTGTTTGTTGTTACTGATAATGCAGTATTGTGTATGTAGAAGTATTTGCCTTTGTTGCTTGTACCTCCTGTGCTACACTCCATGTCTTCCTTTTCCTTAGTGTTATTGTGCTGGTCACTTGCTTTTGGTATACTGCCTTTCCCTTCACTCAGATCAGTATTTGTCTCTTACCTGTCTAGCAGTTTTTCCTCCCCTCCCCTCCCATCCCTGGTAACCAAAAAATAAAGTTTCCTTCCATGTGCAAACCTTTTCTTAACTTTTTAAAATAATGAACTCATACAATATTTGTCTTTCTGTGATTGACTAATGTCACTCAACATAATGTCCTCCAAGTTCATCCATGTTGTGAGGTGTTTTGTGGATTCTTCATAATTCTTTAGTGGAATCTTAACCACATTAAAAATGGAACAATCAGTCATTCGTTATATATCTCCTAATTGGATGCAATAAGAAGTATATAGCACGTCTATGACGTACTCACACCCCCCAGAAAATGTAAATCAAACTTCCAGACCTAACTCCCCTTCACAGAAAGTATGGAATTAGAGCAACATGTTAAACTACACAATGAAAATCAGTCTAGTCCAGAATGTGGGAAATTCTGCTGAGACAAATGTTTCTTTAATAAATAAATGGCAGTAAAATGTAAGAAAAGGTTGGAAGTCTGTTAGGGATTCAAGAGACTTTAGGAGACCCACCAACTTAATGTTAGATCAAAGATGTCATTTCGAAGAGTGGTGCACTTGACCCAAGCCATGGTATTTTCAATAGCCTCATATGTATGTGAAAGCTGGACAATGAATAAGGAAAACCACAGAAGAATGGATGCATTTGAATTGGGGTGCTGGCGAAGAATATTGAATGTACCGTGGACTGCTGAAAGTAACAAACAAATCTACGTTGGAGGAAGTACAGCTGAAATGGCCAGACTTCCTCTCACATATTTTGGTTATGTTGTCAGAAGGGACCAGTCCCTAGAGAAGGATATCTAGGTGAAGTAGAGAGTCAGCAAAAAAAGGGGAAAACCCTTAATGAGATGGACTGATACAGTGACTGCAACAACAGGCTCAACCGTGGTAACACTTGTGAGGATGGTACAAGACCAGGCAGTGTTTCATTCCATTACACATAAGGTCTCTATGAGTCAAAACCAACTCAATGACACCTAACAACACCACCATTTTAATGCAGTGTGGGATCTTGTTGAATCTTCATTTAAACAAACCAGCTGGAAAAAAATCACTTTTGAGAAAGTTGGGGCAATTTGAAATTGGTTTGGTTATTAGGAAAATATTGTTAATTTTATTAAATATGATAATGATGTTCTGGTTATGCTTTTAAAAACTAATCTAATTCATTAGATACTAATATTTGTGGGTGAAATACTATGATGTTTGTTACCTTGGATTTGCCTCAGAAAACATTGCAGGAAAAAAATGGAAGGGAAGAGATGAAATGAGATGTACAAAATCTTGTTAATTGTTGAAGCAGGATGATGGGTTTATGGCATAATTATATAATTCTCTGTACTTTTGTGTATTTGGTAAATTTTCATAATAAAATGTTTTATTTCTTTCTTTTCTTTTTTAAGTGCTTTAATTTACTAGTAATGCATTGGTTTATTGTTTCAGGGATTGGTGACATTCAGGGATGTGACCATAGAGTTTTCTCAGGAAGAATGGAAGTACCTGGAACCTGCTCAGAAGGACTTGTACAGGGATGTGACTATGGAGAACTTCAGCAACTTAGTTTCATTAGGTAAGAATATTGTATCAAACAGGGCCAGACAGGAAACAAGGCACCCGTGGATAACCCCAGTGAGAGGCTATTACCACCTCTGGCCAGAAGGAGTAAATGGAGGAAACAGTGCCACTGAAGCATGGTGAGATCTAAAGCTAAGGAAAAGCACCCAGCAGGCAGCAGTTGTAGCTACTACCAGAACTCCTGGATCAAAGAAGGGAAGGAGAAGTAAAAAAAAAAAAAAAACAACACAGAACTCTTTCCTCTTGCCTTCTGACCTGCCAGTGCTTTCCACCGGCCAAACCCAACAGGGAACCATAGAACAAAAGTAATAGTTCTTACAGGTAAGCTGTTTGGGTTGCAGACAGGACATAGAGCAGGACAGGTGGCACAGAGCAAGATGAGGGACAGCAAGTAATGGATTGAGGGAAGAAACAATAAATGGAGAATAGCAGCCATAGATATTAAAAAAAAAAACAAAAACAAAAACTCACTGTGGTCGAGTCAGATCTGACTCATACCGACTCCTCCTGGGGTTTCCGAGGTGGTATCACTATGGAAATAGATTGCCCAATCTCCCTTCCAATGAGTGGCAGGTGGGTTTGAACCGCCAGACTTCTGGTTAACAGTCAAGTACCTCAGGCACTACACTACCAGAGCTCCTCAAATAATTTAGGAGTAGCCTTCTAGAATTTCTCATTTCTTCCTTGTGAATTTCTAGGGTGACTTATAAGTTTCTGGCTGAATTTCTGCCCTCTGTTCCCAAGAAAATTATTCTGTGCTTTGTGGAATTAGAAATTGGCAGTTCCATTATACACTACCATCTTCCCATCCTTTGGACAACCTTCACACTTTCCTTCTTGTAATTGCCTCTCCCTTAGCAACCAAAAGGATGGGATTTGAATTTTGGAACAGCGTGATCATGCACTGTTTCTTTTCCTATCAACAGGAATTTCCATTTCTAAGCCTGATGTCATCTCCTTATTGGAGCAAGGGAAAGAGCCCTGGATGATTGCAAAGGATATGACAGAACAGTGGTGCCCAGGTGAGCAAGGTCTAATCCAGTGATGGATGTCATGGGGGATAATATCCCAGCAGTTGAATCAACTGACAGCAGTGTTTTAGTTCTCTAGTGCTGCTCTAACAGGAGTACCACAGGTGTGTGGCTTTAACAAACAGGAATTTATTCTCTTAAAGTTTAAAACTAAAAACTTTACTGCCTTCGAGTTGGATATGACTCCTAGTGAGCCCTCCTTGGGTTTCCGAAGTAGTATCACTAGGGAAGTAGATTGCCCACCAGTAGCTGGTGGGTTTGAACTACCAGCCTTCTGGTTAGCAGTCAAATGCCTCAGGCACTGTGCCACCAGAGCTCATAGTTCAGGAGGCTAGAAGTCCAAGTTCAAAGTGCCAGTTCCAGGGGCTAGGTGAAAGCCCCTCGACCTTGGGCTTCAGCTCTGCCTCTTGTTCCTGGCCCACTGAAGCTGGAGGCTTCTCTTAGACAGCTGCTGACTGCTGAGGCTGACAAACCCAAGGTCAATAAGTAAAATGACACAGTCCCAAAATTATCAGGCAACACGGCAGGCCACTACTAGTTCAAGTTCAGAAACAGTCTCAAGATTAGCAGATAACATGACAGGCCACTGAGATGAAGACTCAGCCAAATGCAGGATCCAAATGTGCCAAAAAGCTCAGAGACCTTTCTCAACACTGCTTCTTATATACTGGAAGTGGAAGCAGACTACATTCCTAATGCAGCCACTCAGCTGCTCACAGTAGATTCCACCATGGATTCGATTATCAGTCTCATCATGGGGAATACTACATCCAGCTGCCCAGACACTCAAAACTAGGACCAGCCAAGTTAACACATAACCTGAAATACCACAGTTCCACCCCTTGTCAACTTGGTATCTATACAGATCTCCTTCATTGGGTGGCCTCAGTCTTCTAGTCCATCTGAGTGGCATCCTCACCCCCTTGGCATGGCAGGTCCCATTCTCTGCCCCTTGAGCATGGCAGCTCTGAACCCTCACTTTTGGGCAGCAGCTGTGGCCCCATCCCACTGGCCCTCATGAATGGCAGCCCTACACTCCAGAACCAAGTTGGTGAAGATCTGACTCTGAAACCTAGGAGGTTATTGTGGTTCCACCCCCAGAAGGCTGAGGCAGCTCTGCTTCTCTTTTCTTTGATCTCTTGACTTCTGCCAATTAATGCCCAAAGGCAACACACTCCTTCAGGAAGCTTCCTGCCCACAGCCATTCCACTTTCTCCATGGGCCAGCAAACATGCAGCACCATCTCATGCTGGTCTCTTCTACCAATCAGTGCCCAAAGGCAACCTATTCTGCCAGGAAGCCACCTGCCCACAAGCATCCAGCTTTCTCCTCTGTGTCACTGTTTCATGCCGGTCTCTCAGCTCTGCTGCTGCTGTCTCTCTGCTGGTCTCTCAGTGCAGGGATCTAGGGTCCAAGGATGCACTCCACTCCTGTTTCCATATTTCAAGTATCTGTTAGAGCATCACCACACTCCCTTGGTACCAAATTCTGTTTTGGTCCTCTAGTGCCACTATAACAGAAAATACCACAGGTATATGTTTTTAACAAACAGGGACTTATTATTCTCTTACAGTTTAGGAGGCTAGAAGTCTGAGTTCAAAGTGCCACCTCCAGGGGCTGGGTAAAAGTCCCTTAACCTTGGGCTTCAGCTCTGCCTCGTGCTCCCAACCCACTGAAGCTGTAGGCTTCTCTTAACTCAGACAGCTTTTGGCTGCTGAGGCTGACAAATCCAAGGTTGACAAGTAAAATGGCACAGTCCCAAAATTATCAAGCAACACAGTAGGCCACTAGTTCAAGTCTAGAAATAGTCTCAAGATCAGCAGACACCATGGCAGGCCACTGAGATAAAGACTTGGCCAAAAGCAGTATTCAGATGAACCAGAAAGCTCAGAGACCTTTCTCAAAGCTGCTTCTTATACCCCAAAAGCAGACCACATCCCTAAAGCAGCTATTCAGCTGCTCAAGTAGATTCCACCATGGAGTTGATTACCAGTCTCATCATGGAGAATAACTACATCCAGCTGCCCAGCCACTCAAAACCAAGCCCAGCCAGGTTGACACACAACCTTAACTACAAGTAGTAACTTGAGTTATTGTTGGGAGGTGTTTTAGTCTTCTAGTACCACTCTAACAGAAGATACCACAAATGGGTGGCTCTAACAAACAAGGATTTTTTTCTCTTATAGTTTAGGAGGCTAGAAGTCCTAGTTCAAAGTGCCAACTCCAGGGGCTAGGTTAAAGTCCCTCAACCTTGGGCTTTATCTCTGCCTCTTGCTCCCAGACCACTGAAGCTAGAGGCTTCTCTTAACTCAGGCAGCTGCTGGTTGCTGAGCCAGACAAACCCAAGGTTGACAAGTGAAATGGCATTAAAAAAAAAAAAAATCACTGCCGCCAAGTCAGATCCAACTCATAGCAACCCCTCCTTGGGTTTCCAAGGCAGTAGATTGCCCAACCTTCCTTCCAAGGAGTGGCTGGTGGGTTTGAACTGACAGCCTTCTGGTTAGCAGTCAGATGCCTTAGACACTATGCTACCAGAGCTCCTTCTCCCAAAACTATTGAGCAACACAGCAGGCCACTAGTTAAACAGTCCCAACATCGGCAGACAACATGACAGGTTGCTGAATGAAGACTCAGCTACATGCAGGATCCAAGCATGCCAAAAAAACTTGAGATCTTCCTCAAAGCCAACGTCTTATATACTGGAAGTAGACCACATCTCTAAGGCAGCTACTTACCTGCTCCAGTAGATTCCACAGTGGAATTGATTACCAGTCTTATCAAGAGGAATAACTATATCCAGCTGCCCAGCTACTCAAAACCAGGCCCAGCCAAGTTGACACACAGCTTAACTACCACAGGAGGCTTCCCCAAAAGCCCTACCCAAGGCTACGGAGTAAAGGCCTGAGACATAAAGAAGAAAGACCTTACCAAGATCAGCTCTCAAGGGATCCTCCCCTTTAATCCCATTCATTCCTCTGTTCTTTTCTTCTCTCATATTTTCCTTCATATTTCAAAGAGTGATATGCCCCATTCTTCTGTAATGGCTACCCTTTTACCTGTTGTTTTCTGGTTTTTTGATCATCGCCATTCAAGATGAGGTGGTATTTCAGTATAGTTTTGATTTGCAACTCCCTAATGGCTAATGGCAATGAGCCTCTTTTCATACATTTGTTGGCCATTTTTATAGCCTCTTTGGTGAAATGTCTGTTCAAATTCTTTGCCTGTTTTTTTTATGGAGATGTAATTTTAAATTCAAAATTGAAAAAGTTCAAACTTAAAAATATGAAACCAAAAAGTTATTAAATGTAATATAAGTAACAAGTCAAGCTGAAATTTAAAAATCAAATGGAAAATATATTCAAATTCTATTATATAATTCATTGTTTCTTTGATTTTTGAACACTTTTTCTAGCACTATGAATGGCAGTTCTTCCATTCTTTAGTATAATGAACAATACAGAATTTAGCCTTGAAACTTGTAGCAGGGTAAAATAACTACTTTATTCCATTTCTTAATGGAGAACAGCTGATCACAAATGTAGTGCTCCTAAGCATTCTTTGTGCGATGGTTTTATAATCATGGTCACCACTACCAAGATATTTGTAAAACTGTTCTTTTCCCCTGTTGCATGTCACATTTCATATCAGAAAATCTTATCTAGAAAGGCAGAGGATTTGGTTGACTTGTTGTGCTGGGTTGTGCCCTCTCTTGAGGTGTTACTAAATGTTCTATGTCAAAGTTCACTGTTTCTGAAGGAAATTACCTTTAGGTTTTAGAGTTGTCCCTCAAAATTCATTGTGTAATTCTGAGACCATATCTTTCCTTTAAAAGAAAATGTCAGACCCAGTGTTATGTCTCAGTTTTCCCCCACTTCTCCCCAGCTGCATTTTCTGCCCCTAGCCCCCTAACTTCTTTTGCTACTGTAAAGTACTTTATGGAAATTGCAATGCAATTTCTAGTGAACAGTACAGTCCCGTGTGGACTTCTGTTCTCTTTTCTTGAAAAAATTATCACCATAGCTAAATTTCAACACAAGTGCAGTATTAACATGAGACCATCACAAGAGCACTGTCTGTAGCCATGATTACTAATGTGGCCACTGAACATGAATCCTCTTAGGGCTGTATTCAACATACAATCATACTGAATCATATGGACAAACTTCTAGCACATCCAAGGTGTTGTTCCCCAAATAGAGAGAACAATTTGGTATTGTTTCACTTGGTGCCTTTAGCAGCATAAATGTGACACCAATAATTTTACTTTTTAAAAACAACTTTTCCTATATCATTAGTAAATTGAGCATTATTAGTTCAAGAAACCAAAACCATACCCACTGCCATCAAATCGATTCCAAGTCATAGTAACCCAATAGGGTTTCCAAGGCTGTAAATATTTATGGGAAAAGACTGCCTCGCTTTTCTCCTGTGGAGCAGCTGGTGGATACAATCGACTGACTTTGTGGTTAGCAGCCAAATGCCTTAGCTATAGCAGCACCAGAGCTCCTTATTATTTCCAGAAAGTGTACTTGAATTTGAAAATATTTGCTTCTGATGTAGACATAATTTTTATCATTCTTCATAAGTACTTATTTTATGCATCACTGTTTATAAAACGTTTTGATGTCCACACAGTGTTGTAGTGAAGCACCAGTCTTACACTCTGATAGAGGTTAAAACAGAATCTTTTTGAAAGGTAGAGAGATTCGCAAATCAGAAGACACCAGCACCCAGGCAGATACAATAGTGTTCCAAATTGTAAGAAATGAAAGAGAGATTTTTATTCAGTGAGTAAATAAAGGGCTGTGTGCTCACAGGCACAAGTGGTGACATAACAAAAAGTTACAAAGGAGTTGTTAAACAATTCTTCTTAACATTATCATTTCTGTTTTCTAACGTCTGGGAATATATTGACCAAGGCGTTTTTCTTGGAGCAAGCTACACAAGCACTCTTGGCAAACATCTTTTAACAAACAGTTCCTTGAACAAGC